GCCCCCAAGGCCCCCGCCCCCTCCCTTTTCTGCTCGGAGCCTTTGAAGAACCAGCCAACCCCACAGCGACCGTTACGGCGCCGGAATCCAGTTCTGTGCGTCTGAGCTCGGGTTTGGCACTTTCCCCCGGTCCCTGCCCCCGCCCTCCCGTTGCCAACGGCACGGTCTCTTAGGATTCGTCGCTGGTTGTCCCGGTGTCTCCACGAAAACGCTCCGTCCGGCGCGACTTCCGAAGCTTTCAGGGGCGGGGCGGGGGAGACAGGGCGTGGTCTGTCCTCGGCCACACCCCGCGCCCGCCGCTTCTGGTTCCGCGCAGCCGCCGGGAGAGGAGGAGCGTTTCTGTCTCACCGAGCGCGCGTCCCCGCCGCGGGGAGGCCGGCCGGCGGGCCCCGAAGCTCGGATGGCGTCCCGGTTACTGAGACGGGAGAGCCAGGGCGGGGAGCAGGAGGGAAGTCCCGGGCCCTGGGACTGGTTCCTCCAAAGAGCGACCTTGCTGCGGCTGAGCCCCAACTGCTGCAGCGAGCGCTGGCGGGAAAGGGTTGCAAGCCGGGGGCCGCGTGTGCTGAGGGTTGCAGCCCACTGAGCATCTGCGGGGGCCCAGCCGGAGGGAACGGGGCTGGTGGTGTTGGGGCCGAATCGCTGGGCGCAGGAATTTTACCCTCCGTGCAAAGGGAAGTTTAATCTTCACAATAAACCCTATCGCATGGGAACTATCCCCATTTTACAGATGCGGAAAAGGGGGCTCAGAGAGGTCGAATGATCCACCCAAGGTCACACAGCTCATAAGTGGTAGAGTCCGAATGGAACTCAGATCTGACTCAGCTGGGTTGTTTGTAAAGGTGCAGCCAGGTCTGCATGGGTGCCCCCTCCCCCGCCCAGGCATAAAAATCACTGGGTCCCTGGGGACCCCTGGGCTCAACCCAAGCCTTCTGAAGCTACCAGGCTTCCCTAAAGAGAATGGCTGTCGGGGGCCTGCGTCCTTTCAAGGGCCCCGCTCCCCAGCCCAGAGCTGTGTGGCCTGAGAAGGTGTTTAAAGTTTCAAGGGCAGCTTGATTGCCCAGCGATAGCAAAGGACCCTGCTCTCCAGCGAAGGATCCATTTCCCAGCTTGATGTTCAGCACCCCGTGAACTGCCCTTCTCCCCAGCAGGCCCAGGGCAGGCCGGCTGCCCAGCCTGCCACCACACAGGCCTGGCACCAGCGGCCTCCCCAACCCGGTCAGGTTTCTCACTTTCTCAGCAGTTTGCAAGATGAGCCTGTTCTGCTTGTCAGCTTAGACTGGCCTTCCCCATGGCCCCCCTCCTCCTCGGGGACAGTGTCCC